CAGTTGGCTACTTCATCCTCAGCAAATTGTGAAGCCTGGATCTGACCAAATAACAGCTGCCATTCAAGAGATATTCTCCAATGAAAGCATCCTTTCAACAAAGTTTGAAGACATGCATATTCTTCATCCCCAACGGCAATCAGGGATTCAACCCCCCCCCCCCAGAATCTCTTCAGCAGCAGTCAGGGATTTATTTTCCCGGACAAAAACATACATCTCACATTCATACATTGTAGCATGTACATACCATATGCATTTAACATAATACCACATCTGGTGAACATCATACAGGCATCTGCATTTTACTAACTCTTTTTCTCACAGGTAAAACATCAAGTTTTAGTATAAATAAACAAGAGATTTATGTTGATACTTCTTCCAGTGTTTACCAACATTCCTCCAAATGGCATCTATAATCCCATTCACCATCCATCATCGAGTGCAAATTTCTGGGCACTCTAGTGTTCAATCATCTTTCACCTTCAAGTCACGAATGACGGATCCGCCAATCTAACTCTTCAGGTTTAAGAAGATTGAAAAGGGGCATTTGTTGTACCCCAAAATTTTACCTCTCACTTATCAAATATTTTCTCACAAAGATTTCTCTTGGTTCAAGACTGCACTAGGGTTGATCAGCTCAAGACACCTCCTTAAGCACTGATGACCAAAATTAGAGTTTGAGATTTCACAAGGAGAATTGAACTTTTAGTGATTAATATGAATTTCATGGATCATTATGGACCCCCAATATTACTCATGTCAAGTTTCAAGCCTTGGATCACACTTTTGCTCAATTAATTGAGCAGTTGACCTAAAAATCAGCTATATTGGGGAAAAAGTAAACTATGGCCAATTTCCAGTCAAACTTCATAATTTTTGATCCACATCAACATTGTAAACTCATATGTATTATTTGATAAAGTTTGGATCACAATTCCTCAAGAAATTTGATCAAATCATCAAAAGGGCAAAATGGTCCAAATTAGGGTTTTGACTAAGAAAGGGCAATTTTCTGATTTTTGACCTAGTAAATGGTCAATTGGTTTGAAGTATGGTTTCAAGAGTTCAATTGCATCTTTTCGACCTAATGGCATGACCTAAAACATTTCTCAAGATCAATTGGATTGATAGGGAATTTTCAGTCAACTGATCAAAAGTCAATTGTACATTGAGAAGTCAAACTTTGACTTTTTGGTCAAAACCCAATGTCAAGAATCACAATTAATCAAAACATGTCAAAATATGAAACTTATTCATCAAGAAATCAAAATTTCAAGATTTCATTATGAAAAGTCAAAGTTTTCTAACTTAGAAATTTTTCTAAGTGTTTAAAACTTCATGTTTTTTCATAACTTTGAGCCAATTTTTCACCATGATGCAAGATGATTCAGAAGAAACTTTCAACATGAAAGTTGTAGATCTTCATGATATCTACAAAATGGCTTTACACAACTTCTTCTAAAAATTATTGGATCTCAAGTTGTTAATTCATAAAGACATGGTCTTGAAATTGAAAACTTAGTAGAATTTTGCCCTAAATTTGGTTAGGAATTTTACCTAACTTCATGGCACTTTTTCATATAGTTCCAAGTGAAATTTTCAAAAGTGATTCAAAGAGGGGTTGTAGAGAAAATTGCAAGCTTTCCAAAATATCAAAGAACTCCTTGAGATCATTTTTGAGCAAGGAGAATCGAAGAGATGAAGTTAGGGTTTTCAAACTTGAATTACAAGACATTTCATGATGAATAAGAATTCAAATCCAAGCCTATACTGCATAATATTCAATTTGCAGGCCTCAAACTTGTTTGTCACTCCATAATTAAATGTTTACACAACGTATGGAGCCATTGTCCAAGCATTTGAATCATTATCCAAGTTGCATTTCCATTTTTGGAAGAAAGTAACCATTCCATTCTTGTAAAGAAGCTTTAATCACAAAGTCAACTTGTATGGAGCTTTGCACTTGTTCTTTATGCACAAGCATGCTCTATAAACTCATAACAAACATGTTTAAAGTTGCTAGCCACCCTACAAGACATATATCATGCATTGAAACCATGTTTGTCAAGATAACTTCAAAAACAGGTCAAAAACTCATAACATGTGATTCTTTATTTCTGACCATTTCAAACCTCAAAACCTTTCCTCTATAAATATAGATACTATTTGCAAGAGAACACACGAATATACAAGCTCCAAAACTCCCTGAAAACTCAGATTGCACAAAACCTCCACTTTTGTGTCATTTCTGACTATGAACTTCAATCTTCAAAACCACTCGTGCATTTCTTGGCCTTTTAGTTTCAAAAGCTTCCTCATATCAAATACAAACCATCCCTGTCCCTGTTTGCATACTGTAACATCATCTTCATCAACTTCCGTATCCAAAAATAGAGCATTGCAATTGGACTTCTCCTGACCATTTCAGCCTCTCTGAACTCAAGCTAAGCATTGTAGTATCTTCCTAGAGGTCTAGGGAAGCTAACCTAATCATCACCACTGCCCGAAACAAGCTCAAATCCATTTCACGATTTCCAGTTTTTAGGTATTTTTCTTGAACTTCTATCTTCATATTTAGGCATTATTAGGCTTACATTTGTGAAGATAAAATGTAGACATCATTGCCCTGAAACTATACATGTCCATAGATTTCATTTATTTTGATTGAGCTAGGAGAATTTTGAGTTTGAACTTTCTGAAATATTTAGGTCAGAATTTGGTACTTTTATAAATTCTCATTCATATTTGATTTATAGCTTATGATATTTATATGGTTGGATTCGTGTGACAAAATGGAGCAATTTTCATGTTTACATTTTTGCAAATGGTTGAGAAATGAACAAGTTGCATGGATTCTGGCTGTAGGTTGAAGATGAAGTTATAACATGGACTTGTTTTGTTTTAAGTTTATTGATTATTGTATAATTAACGGATGAAACAGGCCACCCCAGTGGTACAACAAGCGCGCGCGTATTAGGAGGTCTTGGGTTCGAGCCCCAGCGAGACCTTTTGGGCAATTTTCTCATTCTTTTACACTTTTTTTCATTTTTGTTTGCAGCCAACAAGCGCTTGGCCCTTCCTCCTTTGGGCCTGGGAATTTTTGCTAGCCTTCCACCCTCCTGACTACTTTTAACACCCCTGGCCAAAATTTCTTTAATTATTTTCTTTTTTCTTATTTTTGTTTTTATTTCTTTTCTTCTTTAATATTTATTATTATTATTATTATTATTATTATTATTATTATTATTACTACTACTATTATTAGTTTCATAAATCATAAAAAAAAATCTAATTTTATTTTTATTTATTATTTATACTTATATATTTTATTTTTTCCATAAAATAAAAAGACTAAAAAATATTTTCTTAAAACAAATTAATTTCTTTTTTTTCTCTGAAATAATTAATTTTTAGACTTAGGTTAAATTATTATTTTATTTTATTTTCTTAGTTAAAATTAATTTAGAACTTAGGTTTATTTTAGTTAATTAATTTTCATATTATTTTTATTAATTAAAAACCTTTTCATAAAAAACCCTAAAAAATATTTCAAACTTAATTTCTTTTCTTAATTATTTTAGGTTTAATTTTTACTAATTTTAATTAATCATTTCCTTTATTTAGGTCAAGAAAAAACCCTTTCCAAAAAAACAACAAAAATCATTTCTTTTTCCATTTATATTCTTGCATTTTTTGTTCAATTTTGTACAATATTCAATATGGTTGTAATAGATAATTAAATTTAATTTTCTTGCAATCCCCATTTGTAAATTTGTACACCCCCTTCCCTAATGATGTAATAGCATAGTAATTTTACTTTTCGCAATTTATCGCTTTATATAAATGCTAGTAATTAGGGTTTGTATGAGAAGATAAAATCAACAAGTAGCAAAGCCTAATCAAAGACAAATCAAGCATGAAAAATCAATACACTTGCACACAAGCACCCCTAGGGTAAAATCCACTTGGTTGCCTTGTAAAAATGGCCATATTATGCATGTGAGGTATCTTAGCAAAAACAAGCAAAAATACAAGATCATAGTCCCTCGATGACGTTATCTATGTTGCCTTTTCAAAATGATCTTAGTCCCTAAAGAAAGATGCTAAGATACCTTGCAACATTGCTAATCATGGTTATACGATGACCCAGGCCCGTTCCGTTTACATCCAAAGATAGGATTACTTACCAAATAAATGGTAAGATAACAATGTCAAAGGAAAGAGGAAATAAACATCAAAGACTTTTGAGTAGGTAGATTGTTCCTAGTTGCTTGCTCAATTTCAAAACCAAAAACATCCTTGCTATTTTCAAAAACAAACACCAACACTTTCAAAAAACGTATTTCAAACTTGAAAACATTTTCAAAAGATCAACACTTTGTATACATTCTTACGAACGAGAATCATTACAAAGTTTTCCTAAACGATGGCGCCTTTTCAAAATACTTTCAAAAAACCACACAAAGTACATTTTCAAACAAAAGCAAGTGATCTAGAAAGTAACTAAGAGCCCATGGAAAACTATGGATAAAAAGGGTGCTAATACCTTCCCTTTTCATAATCTACCCCCTACTCAAGAAACAATCGCAAAGGTATTTCCTGTGCTTTTTCACCTTTCCTTTTGGATAAAATAAAAGTCGATGGAGACTCTTGCTAACCGTAGCATTTGCGATAAAATGCAAAACAACCAAGTCAGTTCTCCCACCACATCACACTAAGAAGTCATAAAAGAAAAAGAGAACACTGAGGCTTACCCGCCGGAAACCGGTCTGGCGCCTTCTTTAACTGCAACGATGACGAAGATCGAAAATGTTGTTGAGAAGCTCTGGTATACATGTATTCGTATATTCCGCTTTCTTATTTTCTTCCTTCATATTTTCCATTCTCACGATTCGTTGATTATGTGACGAAAGAATATCGTGGTATGAATTTTTATTGATGAGAAACAGTGTTGAATTTGTTGCAGATTTATCGTAGATGAATCAGAGGAGTTGCGGAAGATGAAAATGGTGATTGAAGCTGACGAAGGTGGTGTTGATGCTGAAACATTTTGCAGAATATTGCTGATGCAGAAAAGTGAGAAATTGATGATAAAGATGTGAAGGGTTTTGGAAGAATAGCATAATGTAATGAAGATGAAGGAGATTATGTGATGAATGATGAAGATTATGAAGAGTCTAGAGTGAAGGTTGAGGATGAAGATTGCAGAGAGGTGAAAGAAGATGAAGATAACTGAAGGATGGTGATGAGAGATCGATGAGGATTCTTATTGTTGCTAAAAAATTAAAAACTAAGATTAAAGAGAGAGAGAGAGAGAGAGAGAGAGAGAGAGAGAGAGAGAGAGAGAGAGCTTTTCTGTTTTTTTATGGTGATTCTTCCATAGATTGAAGATTGAAGATTGAAGATGGAGATGAGAGGAGAAGAGAGAGAGATAAGAGTCAAGTTTGAAGATATTTCTTTGTGATTCTTTTGAAAGTTGAAGAATGAAGTTGAATCAGGTAAATTTTCTGTTATATTCTATTAGAAAAACGATTAGAGGATTCAATTGGAAAATTTTGTTAGTTCTTTAAGGATGAGTTGGAACTTATGGTTAGTTAGGATTTGTAATTTCTGTTATGAGGTGGTTATTTGTTGGATGGAATCAGTTAATAAGGAGTTAGTTTTTGTTAAAACTATTACGTGCTAATTAGTTTTTCTATTAGAGAACTGTTAGCTAAGAACCATTAGCAGCATAGTTTTAGGAGGTTAAAATTATGTTGAAAAGCTAGTTTGATGGTCAAAAAAATCTGTTAGAAAATAGATATCAATTAGTTATTTGTTTTCCACAGTTTTTTTAACCGAGATGCGGATGAACCGAAAATGAAGCTGGCTTGGTTTTGATTTTATACTTCTTGAATATTTTTCTGAATTGGATAATAGATGTAGGGTTGTAGTTAGTTCATTGGCTTTTCTTGCTGACTGGTTTGGTTATAAGTGTAAAGGGATAGGTTTTTTTTTGTGTGAAATGATTTTTAAACTTTTATCTGCACTTTCTGTTTTGGTTTGAAAACATTTTTCTAATTTTATTAATGCAGGTTATTTGCAGACAGGGCTTGAATTCAATGGTGCAGTGCAAGTAGCAGCTATGTTTCTGTTTGAGAAGGTTTGGTAAGGTTTTGTAGCATATGGCAGGTGGTCATTTTTTGTATTAATGTAGGGCATTTGTTCATTAGTATGGTCTGGACGCTTGAATTGGTTTTGGTATTGGGTTGCGAGTCAAGGAAATGGCAAGACCATATGCAGATCTGCTTTTGTTGTTTTTGTGAATGCAAGTTCGTGATTAATGGCATGAAGATAAACTAGAGATGGAGAAAAGATTGGAGAAGACTTTAGGTTTAAGCCTAGTATTTTTTGTAGTCTTCTTATTTGAATGTAAGGTGTGTTTGAGATAGGTTTATAGAATAGCAAGAGGAAGAACATGAATTGTAGCAACATAAAATGATGAGTTTGTATGTAATTTGAAACATGGAGTTATGTTTGAGAGGCTTTTCAATGGGACCAAATATTGAATGGAATTTATCAATAGATAAACAAACATGGTTGTTGTACCCCAATTTTTTCCCCTAAGATCCCTTCATCATACCATGTTGATTCATTCACAACAAGATCACACTAGGATTCTTGGTTCCCCTCCCTATATTTAGCTTTGCCCTTTTGAGGAATCACCAAGCACCTTGACTTATGTTCTTTTATGATCATGAATATTTTTTTTGTCTTGATTTCTTCTTTTAACTAAATAAAATGCAATTTTGGTTTGTCTTGCTTGTTATCCATGTAGGTAAAGGCAATGGGATTTAACAAGTTACCCCATGGGTTCATGAGTTTATTTCCATGCCCTAGTCAATAAAGCTTGAGAAGTTAAAAACTCGCCATTGGATTGGTTTTGGAAGAATTGGAATGGCATGGTTATTTTGGTTCATCACATTTCAAGGTTATCAAATTTGGTTGAAAAGCACAAGGGATTGATTGGAGAAGTTGTCATGGTTGGACAAGATTTTATTCCATTTGGTCACAAGTGCATATTTCTCTCAATGTTCAAGATATGGAAGTGGTTTTTGTGGCTATGAGTTCTCATTATCATCCTCAACAACTTCTATTTACAAATCATGTGTGTTGGTACAAGAAGTTTGTTCAAAATTGTCAAATTCCTCAAAGCATTCTCTTGATCTAAGGAGCTAGGGTTTTGAACTTCAAAGGAATATATCTTGTTCATCTCTTAGTTTTTTTTTACTGATTCCAAAGACATCTTTCTCTTCAACAGGTTATCAACAAATCACTTCAAAAGTTTCAAGGAGTTGTCATGAGGAAGAAACTTGATGAATAAGAAAGATTACAAGTCCTCTAGATGAATACCCAATTTTCCATGTGTGACTTCAAATGATCATAACTTGGTCAATTTTTATCACCTTTAGCCCATTCTTTTTCCATAATGATCTTGAAGGTGTGAACTTTATGCCTTATTTTATGTGCAAAGTGAGAAAATGGATGGAAGTTTCCTTAAGGATGCAAAATATTATAGGTCATTTCATGATTTTTTGCAAACTTCAACAAGTCATACCTCTCTCAATTTTGGGAGATTTTGAATGGTTCAAGTTTCAAACTTTTATTCAAGAGATCTACTTCATTCCATCTTTTTTGGTCAAGAGCAAATTCCAAGTGTAAGGCCATGTTTGGATGCAAGACATTATAGGTCATTTTTGAAGAAGAACTTGAAATATTTCTAAGTATGGAAAGTCAACTCTTTTTCTCCAACTTTGACTCAACACAACTTTCAGCTCAAGCATCCATTTAATTCCATTCTTTTTCCATTGCAAAGCTTGTTGCCTCATATTTCTATAGCATTAAGAATCATGCCCCAAGACCCCTATATTTTGAAAATGCCATTGGTCAGAAGTTGGCACTTTGAAATTAAATTTCTCACCAAGTCAGAATTTTAAAATCTATAATGTGGTCTCTAATAACAAGTTTTTCACGCGTTTTTACCTCTAAACGTGTTTAGTGAAGTTCCAGATTTGTTTAGCACCTCAAAACGCAAGGATTGGATGAGTTTTTGTGAAAATTAGATCACACTTCACTCGTGCATCAGGTTTGCACAAATTCCCTCCAAAATGCATCATTTACTCTTCCTTTTGATCCCATTTGCTTCTCCTATAATTACATGAACTATCCCATTCGTTTTCTCAAGCTTGGATAGCCAGAATCACCGTGCCAAACTTGTTCCACAACTCATAATTCAGTAACTCCAAAATCCATTCTCAAGCCTTTTTCAATCTAATTTTTCCATCAATTCACCTTCCTTGATCTTCCCTGAAGCTAACCACATAATTACATTCGAGAATCGTGCCTTAACACTGCTCCATAGAAGTCCAGTTCATAGCTCTGTAACTCAACTTCAATAGGTAGATTCCTTCATCAATTCTTCAAAACTCTGATATCATTTTCTTGCTCTCATTGCCCTGGTTCTAGTCGCAACACTTACCTTTTACTAGAAACATGTTTTTACCATGAAATATCAAATCCCTTTTCAAAACTTTCCTTCCAAATTGCTTGAGCTACAGTTTATATAAATTTGGCGCGAGGGTGTGGTTTTCTTCGTCTTGAAGAGACGAAGCGAATGGCATAGGTCAGAGCTCCTGTTTTACAGTTTGAGAGACCTGCAAATTAGGTTGGTTGGAGGTTGAAGATGACCTACATGTCATCTTCCAACCAATGATGGCACGCCACTTGTTATTTTTGAAAATCTAATTTATATTTGATTCTATACTTTATTCACTAATGACCATGATATGCACAACGCGCCAGATCCCTTGGATTTGATTAATAACGCGTTTTGACTCTCATCCAATGGTCCATATATTTTTACTTTTATTTTCTTTTCTGATTTTTATATTTTAATTGTTTTAAATTTTAAAAAATCATAGAAAATTCATTTTAAGTACAAAAAAATCTGAAAAAATTATGAAAAAATATTTTGATTATTCTCTTTCTGATTTTTATTTGTTCACAATTTAATTTTGTGTTTTGGTATTTTTTATAAATTTGCACTTTATTTGAATTGTTTTAAATGTTTAAAAATACTTTTATACATTTTTAAATTCTAAAAAAAATTATGGAGTGATCCAATGATATTGTGACAAATATTGGTGACCTTATTTTATTTTTGTTTCTGACTTTACTATTTTTTGTCATTTTTGGTTTATTTTACCCATTTCTTTTAATTTTAAAAATAGTTTCTCATTTAAAAAATTACCAAAAAATTTGTAAAATTATTTGAGCCTTTTTCTGATTTTTCTATGGTCTTACTTTTTATTTCTTGATTATTTTGAACATAGTTGATATTTTTCTCTTTATTTTATATTTTTAAACATTATTTTAAACCCTTTTGTATATATTAAAATGTAATATTATTTTGTGACTATTTTCTGGCTGATCTTGGGTTAAATTTTGGATCATGAACTTTATTAACATCATTGGATCCATGGTGTTAAGTTTAACTCCGCAAAAATGGATGAATGATTTTAATAATAGTTTGATTAAATTTAATTCAAAAGTGGTTTGTATATTCTCTCCCATCCCTCTTCATCTCATCCCCTTCTTATTGCACTAAATGTTGTTGGAGCATGATCTCTATATCATGTCTCAAAACAAACGGTGCATAGATTGCTCTTGACCGGTCTCAAAATAGGTGCGACTTCTATATAAGTCCACTTTCGATTGCTTAACATAGCGCTAAATTTTGTCTCGATTCGAATAAATGATCATTCATGGCCCAAACTTATGTTTGCAATCTCAAGTATGTTAATTTGATCTCTTTGATCCAATAACCTAGAGATTCATTGTGTGGAGGCTTTGGTTCTACCAATCCTCTAATGGATCTATAACACCTTTGGTCAATGCGAATCACTTAAACATCGTAGATCATTAAATGGCACTTGTAAGAATTCCAAATGAATGATATACTTGACAAAAAGCAAATGCAACTTGTTGTGTGGAGGCTTTGGTTCTACCAATCCTCTAATGAGTTCCAAATGCAAGCTTCAATATGGTCATCCAACTAACCACTAATTATTTACTTGTTTTACTTTATGATTTTATTTTTTTTATGCTTTATGTACCACTTACTTTTAGCATTTACACTTCATCCCATTTTCATCTTTGCTCCCTTGAGCATTTACTTTCTTGTCATTTTTACTTTGCTCACTTGAGCTTTTTTTTTCTTTTTTTAAAATACTTAATAATCAACATAAACCCTAAAAATATTTAATGGTACTTGGACTATTTGGTTACTATCCTTGGCATTATGGAACATGGGACTTTTTTCTTCTTCTTAGACTTAGGATTTGAAACCTTGACCTATCTTGGAGACCTTGTGATCTTATCTGATTATTTTGTCTGGAGTTCTTGAGGTTTACTTCAAGACATTGGGTTACTTGTTTGTTTTTGTGTGCAGGTTTTTGTGATTACACCCTTTGTTTGTAATCTGAAATTCACCCGTATACAGACGTTACTCTGCCCAATTTTTGTGAAGGCTTAATACACTTGAAGTTTGGTTCTCTCGAGAGGTCTAGTATTTTTTTTTGCTTGATTGGTTTCAATCCAAGGAATGGGAATTCTATCTTGGCTCATAATGTCAAGTGTTGGATTCTTGTTGGTTAGATGGTTCTTATCCCTAGCTATTACATTATGCTTTAGGATAGTCCCTTCTTCTCCTCCCGTCTTCTTTAATTTCAAAAATCTTCTTCCTCCTTTTGAAAACTCTTCTTGTTTTTAAACTTGAACCACTTTCATAATAAACTTGGACTTATGTCTATGCATTTTCAAAATATTTTCATAAATAAACTCCAATCAACTTAATAATACCTTGACATTTTTTGTGAGAAGACTAAAAGTCAATCAATCTCATTTTAAACCATTTTGCCACTTTGGCTTTTATCTTTAAACTTTTCTCAAAATAGATTGAACTCTTGTCAATCCTTGTAGTGATGCAAACAACTATACTTCTACAATATATAGAAAAGAGAGATATTTTCCACTTGGGTGTTGAGTGAGGCATTGTTGATTTTAAAATCCAAGCCATATCCTCCACTTTGAGATGATGCAAATTCTCCTTTCTCATGATTGTGGGTAATAGGTATGTTTTCCACACGGACAATGACGATGATGTTTTATCTCATAAAATTAACCAACAAATTTGTGTTTTAAATTTTTAAAAGAGGAACTACGTGTACCCTGATCCTTTATTGCACGAAAAGGTGGTACGTAGGTGTTGTACCCCAAAAT